CACACACACACATACACACACACACACATACACACACACACACACACGCACACACACAGGCGTCCTCATGCTACTCCCATGCTCACAGGTGTCCTCAGGCACAGATGAGCTCCTACCTGTCAGAGCCCTCAAGCTCCTCCAGGTACCCACAGAAACATGTGCCTTTCCATTGTCACACGTGCTCTGGAGTGTGCACACGCGCCAGTATACAAGGGGCTTACACACGGGCAACAGTCTGCGGGAGCCCGCATCCATTCCCACACACGCACACCCGTGTATGCAATCTACACAGACCTAGACACACTCCAATCACACACCCACACCAGACACACTCGCCCAAGTCTCCACACACCTTCACACACTCAGGTACACCCTACACAAACAAGTGTGATTTTCAGAATGCCTGGGGTGAGAATGTGAGCCAGCAGGGAGTCGAAGCCAGTACGAAGCCGCAATCCCCAGCCTCACCTCCAGGGGCCGCTGCCCAGTCCGCAGCCCCAGCTCAGCTGCAGAGCCCGCCTCAGGCATAGTCATCCCAGGAGGACTCTTCAGAAGGAGAGGGACATTCTGGAGAGAAGACAGCCCTGAACTCCCCGCAGTGTGTGGGGTGACCTCCCACCGAGGTGGGCAGGGATTCCAAGAGGGGAATCTGAATGGGGGCAAGTGAGTGGAAGAGGACCGCGGGGAATAAGGAGCAGATGCGAAAAGGAAGACCAGGAGGTCCTGGAGGGAAACAGGAGACAGGGAAGGACTGGGGGCAGAAGAAGAGAGAAATGGAAGGAGATGGAAAGGATGGTGCCGGCGGGGGGGCGGGGGGGAGGGGAGGGGGAGGGGAGGGGAGGGGAAAACTAGAGGGAGGAGTTAGGGAGACACGTGAGAGGTGAGAAGGGAAAGAGGGCATCTGAGACAGCGACGAGGCTGAGAGCACCTCTTCCAGGACCAGGAAGGGGGTGGCGCTTTCTGTCTCCTAGACCACCCTCCACCCTGCCCCACCATCAGCAATCCCCTAGGGGGTGTACTCTGCCCCAGTGCCTTGGCCAGCCCTAACCTGCCACCCGCCTGACACCCGTGTGAGGATGACTTCCAACAAGACCCAGGTGGCAGGTGCCCCAGGAGGTGGCCCTGGGGTGTGAGCACCTCTCAACCCGACTCACCCAGCTGCTCCCCTAGGGTGTGGAGAAAGCTGGGAACCCTGAGACAGAGCTGGAATCCCTCCTGCCGGCCGCAGGGAGGCCTACTGCCTCCCGCTCAGGGCTCTGTGGAGTAAGAAGTCGAGCCATAAAAATGCCGAGATTTGCAGACTTTCCGAGCTGGGCAAGTTCCAGGTTCTCGCCCCTCTATGCCTAAGCTGTCACCCCATATTCCCTGTCCTCCCAACCCTGGAGGGCTCCGTCCATTTCTCACAGGGTAGGTGGTGAGCCTGGTAAGCTGGAAGGTTCTGAGAGAGCAGCTCAGATTACAGAGGAGCAAAGGAGGCCTCAGACCCGGCATCTTGTCCCCCAGCTCTTCACCCTGGACACACTCCCAGAACCCCTGTCCCTCCAGTCCCTCCGAGAGTGCTCCAAGAGCTTCACATCATGCCTAGAGCCCCCCTTGGGCCATTTGCCACGGATTCTGCCTCTCCCAACTTCTGTGCCCCAGAACGCAGGCCCAGACGGAGGAGCAGTGACTGCTTATTGGTTGGATACCCCAAGTGACAGGGAGAAAGGTACGGTGCTCTCTATTTTACAGATGAAAATATTGAAGTTCAGAGAGGTGGCCTGTCTTGTCTGAGGGCCTGTGGAGCAGACCAGCAATTGAGATCGAAAGGCAGGAGGAGGCTGAGCCATCCTGGCCTGCTCTTCCTCCAGTTTCAGCCCTACGGCTCAGCCTTCCCCCTCCAGCGGAGCCCCAACTCAACCCCTACTCCTGTACCCCACCCCTCCCACCCGTGTGGGACACACCTCAACTCCCCGCTCCAGACCCACACCCCACTCTACACCCATCCCACTCCCTCCCCCTCCCCAGGAGCACACCATCCCCCATCACTCCCTCCTCCTTCCCTCCTCCGGAAAGCCGAAGTCAGACCCCTCCATCCTCCCCCATTCCCATAGCGCTGCAGCCCCTGCGTCTGCCTACGTCTCTCCCCTGCTTAAAACCCTTCAGTGGCTCCCCCCTCACCTTGAGACAGTGTTCACTCCTCAGCCTGGCATTCAACACCCTTGCGAACTTCTCTGGCCTCATCTCCACCCACTCCCCCCAACACCCAGGCCCCTGTCTGCTCCCCACCACCACCCTGCTTTCAGGTCCTGGCTCCGCCTACCGGGCTCAGCTTCTGTCTCACCCCAAGCAGCCCCACACCACCATTCATGGGGTTCACACGCGGCAAGAGCCACTGCAGCGCCTGGGGCCCCAAGCGCCATCCCCGGGAGAGTTGGCTCGAGGACGGTACATGCACATCTTGCTGACACACAGCTCCCTGCTCACCTTAATCCCCTCAGACTCGACAAGGGTAATGGGTGGCCGGGAGGGCCTGAGACACCACCACCACCCTCCGCCGGCCTGCAGGTCTCTGAGGCCTCTGAGGAGCCACCCAGAGGCCCCCAGGTGCATCTCCCTCCTCAGCGGCGTTCCCAGCTCCTTCAATTCCCGGAGCAACTAGAGCAGGGAGGCCATGCATGTGACCCTGCCCTTGGGAATCTTCCGAGCTGGAAAGTGAGGAATGATCCTGTAACCCGGGGGCCAGACAGACCCAGGGACAAAGCCAGGCCAGGCTGCAGGTGGACACGAGCTGGTGGATGATGGCGGCCACAACGGTCATCACGGCTACTCCTCATTGAGCACTTACTAAGGGCAAGACTCCAAGCTGGGCAATTTATAATGTAATCCTCCCATTACATCTATGGAGAAGACATCATTCTTATTTTACGGACTGAAAGAGGAAGCCCAGAGAGATCTAGCAATCTGTGTGGCATCGTACAGCTCACCAGTGCAAGAGCTGAAACGTAAGTCCAGATCTGCCAGTTCCAAAACCCATGCCCTCTCCACTCCATTTCACAGCCACTCCAAACTCCAGGTGGGGACTGGTTACTTCCCTTCCAAAGAGGCCTCAAGGGCTCCCCACTGCCAAGAGCAGAACCTCCCCCTGCTGAGGTGCCCCACGATCTGGCCCCTGACTGCCTTCTGCCACCACCCCGCCCACACCCACTACGCTTCGGATGGCAATCTTGCCACGTTCCCAGTCGAGCCCTCTGAGCTTCGCTGTTCGCTCAGGCTCTAACATCTGCCTCCGTTTTACAGATGAGAAAACGGAGGGTTAAGAATGTTAAGTAACTAGCCCAAGGTTACACAGTCAGGAAGCAATTGAGCCTGGTTGGAACCCAGGTCATTAGAGCATCAAGTAATAAAGCATTCATTTGTGTTACAGACAATCCGGGAAGGGGAATTAGTAGGACATTCTGCCAGTAGCGCAGAAGAAGGTAGGGGAGAGTAATCGGGTTGGTTCCAGAGTGAAGGAGGACCAGGCTAGGCCTTCAGGAATGGCAGGGTCTGGATGGGTGAGCTTGAGAGGGGAAATTCTAAGAAAACTACAGACAAGAGAAAAAAGAGACAGAGAGAGAAAGGCTGGTCAAAATTAGGGAGGCAATGTACATGGTGGAGAGGGCCGTGTCATGGGGAGGCCTGCAGTGTCCTCCAAATTACTGTGTGACCTTGAGCAAGTCCTTTCCCTCTCTGGGGGATGCCTTGTCTGCAAATGAAGGATAGATGAGCCTTGATGGTCTCTAGGGTCCCACCTGGCCCTGACATCTTAGGATTCTGACTGTGTGTGTTTCCACTGGGCCTTAAAACATAGGATCTGATCCCAGACCCATTGACATGGGGCACAGGCTTGGAAACCAAGAGCAGGCAGGGGCCAGTAGTCAACATGGCACATGACAGGGCACACTGAGGGTTGGCCCCAGTTACACACCGAGGATGGCCCATGCATCCTTCTTTTCCACACATCCGTGCTGTACATGTGGACTCACTGCGGTGGGTCCAGTCCTATGGAAGCTGGAACACAGGGGTGAATGAGTCGAGGTGGAATTGTGGGCTCATGGGGGAAGGTCCAGGACATGTCCAGCACAAGCTAAAAGCCCAGGCCCCAGCGCCTCCTCAGGGAAGGGGAAGGGAATGGGGGTCCCTGAGGAAGGGGAAGAGAAAACATCCTGAGGGTAAGGTGAGGGTGTCAGGACTAGAATAAGTGGTCTGCCCAACTGGAGGACATTTGGGGAACAGAATGGTCCCCAATCAAGTCAGCATTGCACCCAAATATAGAGTACATTCCGGACCATCAGCAGAGAGGTTGTTCTCCCTTGGGTCCCTGTGGTACAAAAACACAGATGCACTGGAGAGCTGGGGCAGAAAATGTACCACTAGAGACTGTGGACACACACATGTGTGCACACGCATGCACACACACATGCACACACACAGAAACTCCTGCACAAAGACCCCCAGATCAGATCATCCATCCCCCTCACCTCCAAACTGAGCCTTCAAAGTGCCCTCCCTCCCCAGAGAACACGCCCTTCGTGTGCCAGTGACACACAGCCCTGAAAGCCAGAAGGTCTCGCTGTCTCACCTCGGTCCCTCTTGCTGCAGTTCTGATGCGCCGGCTTCCTTTCTGACTCAAGAGGTGGCAAACAACCAGGCCCACCCACCTCTGCGCGGCTGACCTCCACCCTCTGGAACGTGGGCTCACCTCTTATCTTTCCTGCCTCTTTGATCTCCATCTCTTGCCCTCAAGAACCCTGTCTTATTCACCACTGAACACTAAACTAGGGGATGAGTGAGCCCTTGGGAGCCCACCTGGTCCTCCAGTGGCCAGCCCCACTGGACCCTCAAGATGTATCAAAGAGCTTGAGACTACCAGGACGCAGAGTGAGTCCTAAGTGAGGAATATGTGTCCTTAATTATCTCACTATCCCATCTCCTGAGTAGGAAGTCCTTCTTGAAGTCTAGCCTCAAGCCCTCATGCCATGGTATGAGTCAGTGTACCACCTCTGTTGCAGTCAGGAGACCCAACTGGATGAGGCTACACTGGGTGGCCAGAGGAGTCACCTTCCTGGAAGGGGATGAGGCCAGGAGGGAGGTTGCGCAGGCACGGGGCCCAGGGCTCCACCAAGCAACTGTCATGGCTCCGACGGAGATGGGGGCGCCTGCCAACGTACCCCGCCCCATGATCTCATAGCTGCGTTTGCCAGGCGCTGGCTCAGGGAGCAGGCGCTGGCAGCAAGGGTTGGGCACAGAGCCCAAGGACAAGAAGGCGGGAAGGCCTCAAGGGACAACAACAGAGCCGTCTCCATGGGGCTGAGACGCGAGGTCCCTCCAGCCTCCAGATGCCACCTTTGGCTAGTGACGCCCCATCTCGGCTCCTCTTCCCAGGCCCCCCGATTGCCCACCCACCCCCAAAGGACAACAGAAAAGGGGAGGAGAGACTCCCTCTTCCTCCCCAAGGGTCAGTCTCTCCATTTGCATCTCTTTCGGCTTCTCTCTGCTCCAAATCGCTGGCCCTGAACAGGATGCTACCATTTCGAAGCATGGAGAGCTTGCTGGGCGGGAGACGGATGGTCAAATATTGCCATTCTTGAGGGTGCTACAGGCACGCATCTAAATGCCAGCTAAAAGTGACTATGAATCCCTAAATAGATGCCTCTGTCCTGGTTCAGGCTGTCCCCAGAGGTGTCAACCCTAGTCCCAAGGCTCTCCTGAGTATTGATCCTCAACTCTTCCTCCCGAGGAGGCCCCCCACAAGAACTCCCCTCCACCCACCACGATATCCACCTCTGGGGTCAAGAGACCCCTCCACGCGGCTCTAGTTGGATAAAATGCCACTCTTGGACTCAGCACGGGGACACCTGGTGGAAACCCCAGGCCTCAGAGTGAAGAGTCATCTGCGTCTGAGGACTGCAGTCAGAGCCCTGCTGGGCCATCAGAGGCTCCATTTGCCTCTTGATTCAAAGGTGAATCCCTCAGTTTGGGCGGACAGCTCTGTCCCTCGGGGTGCTCTGTCTGCTCCCCATTGCACTCTCACCTCAGCCAGCCTCCCTCTGCATGCCTCCCTCTCCCCAGCAGGGAGCCCTAGCCAGTCGTACCCCTTCTACCTGCTCAGCCCTGCTTCCTGGCTGACCCTCCTACAGGGCGCCACCCGGGATTTGCCCCTCTCCCTCCTCAACCACTGCCCAGCACTACTGCCAGAGGCACGTCTGCTGTTCCCACCTTGGACCGCAGCCTGGGATGTGCCGGTCACCCTGCAGTGAACGCCTCGAAAACCACAGCAGTGGTTTTCCTCAAATCCTGGGTCTATCCCACCCTCTCCCCCACCCACAGAATCTATCCTCCCCTCCCAACTCCTGGCCTTCCAGGTCCCTCTCTGTATAGGAAGTGGGTAGACTAAGGGTCCCTCCCATTCAGGAGCTCTGTGAATCTGAGGTTTCTCTCCGCCGCCCCAAGCCCAGGCCCAGGCCCGAAGCAGCCACGCATGGAGACGGGCTGACTGCAGGTCTGCCGTCATCATCATCACTATCGGCGCCCTGGCCCCTGAGAAGGAGGCAGGAGGCCTTATGAGCATCCTCCCTCCACTTCTCAGAATCTCCCTCGGTCTCCCAGAGGCCCACACTCCTCCCTCATCTCTCTCCCCAGACGTCCCAAGAGAAGCCACCTGGACGGTCCACAGGCCGAAACTCAGCCAAACTTCCTGGAGAGGAGGAACTGGCTCGAGCCCGCACCACATTTCTATGTCATTTCCAAGTGGCTCCAATTGGGCTGGGCAGATGTGTGTCAGATCAATCCCCACCCAGGAGGTGGGGCAAATTCCCGGGGTACCAGGTCACTGAGCCAGCGCTCTGAGGCATGGCTCCTGGGGACAGGCTGGCTCCAGAATGATGACGTCACTAGGATGCTAGGTGCCTGCTGTTCCCCCTGTCTGCCCCTACTCCAGGAAGGCCTTGTCCTTCTTCAACTGGTCCACACCCCCCCGCTCCGGGAAGCCTTTCCTGGACAACCCCACCCAGCTCTTACCACAACTTATTCCCAGTTCCCTAGTGACTTAGGTCCAAAGTTTTCCGTGTATTCAGTTGCCCGCGTTTACGTGCTGCCTTGCAAATGTTCTCATAGAGCTATGTATCTTGAGACTTCCCTGGTAGTGCAGTGGTTAAGAATCCACCTGCCAATACAGGGGACACGGGTTCGATCCCTGGTCTGAGAAGATCCCACGTGCCACAGAGCAACTAAGCCCGTGTGCCACAACTACTGAAGCCGGTGCGCCTAGAGCCCGTGCTCCGCAACAAGAGAAGCCACCGCGATGAGAAGCCCGCGCACCGCAACAAAGAGTCGCATCGCAACAAAGAGTCGCCCCCGCTCGCCGCAACCAGAGAAAGCCCGCGCGCAGCAACGAAGACCCAAGGCAGCCAAAAATAAATAAATTAAATAAATTAAAAAAATTTTTTAAAGCTATATATCTCATGGTCGTCACTAGCTGGGGGTCCCCGTATTAATCCAGCCCATTTTGCTAGAGGATTAGTTTCTGCCCTTAAGGAGTGCCAAGAAAGACTCTGAAGTCTAAGTCACATCTCCTCCTGCAATTTTGTCCTCTTGACAATCAAGCAGTCTCAGTGATGAAACTCCCAACAATGAGCAGCTTCTCCCCATGACCAAGTTCTTGCCTTGGTTACCAACAATAAGGCTGTATCCCAGCAGGAATCTCCGGGGAGTATCTAGACTAGGTCAGCTCTTCCTCAAGGGAAGCTTCTCACTTTGGAACACTGCGAACCCTTCCCAGATCAGGTTCCCTCTTCCTGGCCACTGGAACTTGGCTGAGAACTAATGCAGTGTCCCCGCCAACACACTGGGGTCCCTCAGCCACTGCAGTAGGATGTAGGGAGAGGCTGACGTGGGATTGAATCTACACTAATTGTGAGGGCTGCTTTCAGTGCTCTGGACCTTGATTTCCTTACCTGTAAAATGGGCACAACGGTAAAACGGAGTTGACATGTGTAAATCAGGCTGAGGGAAGTCCCACCTTTTGCAGAGGAGGATGCTGCAAGTCACCTCAAAGTCACACAGCTAGTTCCAGGGATGCATTCATTAACCCAGAAAATCTTTAGTGAGTCCCTACTGAAACGAGCAGAGGACTAAGTTTATCTGCTTATCTAGGTAAACTTATGGCAGGAGGAGGCAGACCTGTGAGTGGGAAGCATCAGTAGGATGGAGTATGAACAAATTGCTAAGGGCTCACACAAAGGGACCAGCAGCCCCTCCCCAGCATCTCCTTCTGAGTCCAGAAGGCTCTTTTAACTTCATTTCAATCATAAAAGACAGTTTGGTACAGTCAGCCAATGAGGCTTCAGCAGTGAGACTCCAGAGGGTAGCTTGCCCTGGATGCTGCAAACTCCTGGGCTGCCCCAGAACCCCCTCGACTCCCCAGGGGCAGCTCCAGACCAGCTGCTCAGACAGGGCACAGACAGGCTTGCTCAGAGAGGCTCTCTTCATTGGCAGAGGTGAGGAGGGACAGGAAGGCAGACTCCTGTCTATGGGAGCTAATGTGGGTCAAGGGCACCTTGTGGGGAGGGGCAGCAGGAAGCAATGTTGGGTCCAGGCAGCAGCTGCCCTGCCGGGGGAAAGAGACAGAGGGCAGGGCCCAGACCTGGGTCTTCCTGCCCAGGAATGACATCAGCCAGTTGAAATTCCCAGCCCACTGGGCACCCTGGAGGACTGTGGGGGAGGGTGGGACTTATGCTCCTCCCCACCCCCACTGACACCCCAGCGGGAAATGCTCTGAGCTCGACAACATCTCTCTGGCCATGGACTCAGTGCTCCTGTGGCCCTTGAATGATGGGGCAGAAGCCAGGTCATTAGGCAGGAGAGACTGTCTTTAATGCAGGCGATGCCACTGCCACACGGACAATGGCAAACAGTCATTAGTGGCTGTGTCACACGGGTGAGGCAACGCTGGCGAGGTGCAGGGAGCCGCCCCTCCCCCAGCGCAGCTCACACACACTCGCTCACTCACCTGTGCACACACACCGAGGAGAAAGCAGGCCCACACTGCCCCAGTACACGTTCACGCACTCACACACTTGCCCACTCACATGTTCACACACACACACTCACAAAGGGCCTGAACAAACGCACTGCCCAGAAGGGCCCACAGGATCTGGAATGCCCCTCCACCCACATCTGAAGGGCAGGGTCCCTGGATCCTTCCACAACCGGGTACCCAGACACACAGGTATCGCCCCCTGACTTGAGATGGACACACAGACCTCCAAGGGCCCCAAAGGAGACAGACTTCAGACACCCCCTCCCATCCCACCCGCTCCCTGCTTCGAAGGACCAGCACCCGGGACAGAGAAACCACGCAGAGTGCAGAAGCAGGCAGGGTACGCGTGTCCTGAGGGTGGGGACCACATTGGTTTTAACACTGTAACCCCCTCCACACCCCCAGCCCTAACGGCTAGCACATGCCCTGCCTTACTTGAACCCCCAAGAAATGATCTACTGTAAGTATGTTTCTAAGCACTTTTCTGAGCCCCCCAGCAGGTGGAAGGGAGCAGGGCACCAGCTGAGTCCTAGGTTCAGATCCAAGCTCTGCTACCTTCTGGGTGTATTCGTTTCCTGCTGCTGCTGTAACCATGAACTTAGCGGCTTAAAATAATGCAATTTCATTGTCTTACGGTTTGGAGATCAGAAGTCCAAAATGGGTCTCCACAGTCTAAAATCAAGGTGCTAGCAGGGCTGCGCTCCTTCTGAAGGTACTAGAGGAAGATCACTTCCCCACCTTTTCCAGATTCTAGAGGCCACCCACCTTCCTTGGTCCCCTTCCGTCTTCAAAGCAACAGGAGTCTCTCTCACAGCATCACTCTCCTGACACCCTCTCCCACATTTAAAGGACCCTTGTGATTACATTGGGCCCAGTGTGATCATTCAGAGTAACCTCTCCGTCTCAAGAGGCTTAATTTATTCACGTCGGCAAAGTCTGTGGCCATGGAAGGTAACATAATCACAGGCTCTGGGGGTTAGGACATAGACATTTGGGGCGTCCAAGACATTTGGGGGGTCCATTATTCTGTCTACCACACTGGGAGACCTTGGATAAGTCCTTTAACCCCCCAGAGCCCCAGCATCTTCAACTGTAATCTAGAAATAGCTCCTGCCACATGGGTGGTCATGACGATTTAGAAAGCCACATGAACGGGAAGCTCTGTGCCTCACGCTGGGGGCGGGGGGTGTCCTGGGCCAGCAGCGCTGCCCTCTCCCTTTTGGGCTTCCTGAGGATAGAGGAAAAGGAGCAAGTTGCAGGAGAAAGCTGAGTAAGGCATCTCAGAGGCTAGAGAGGGGGTGGGTCTCTGGGGGCTCAGGCAGGAATGGGAGGAGGTACGGGGGTCTGTGAGGGTCCCGGGATCTGGGCAGCTGTGAGGCCCTGCCTGGAGGGCAGCCACCCCACACGGCTACGGACACACACACCTGCAGTGACCTGGGATGGGGCAGCAGGCGTGCCGCTCCTGACTGATCCTACCTTACTCTCCCTCATCTGCCGCCATCTGTTTGCAGGGCTCTGGGGCCAGCGGGCAGGCAGGAGCCCCAGTCCAGGCTGCTATTACCCTGCTAAGTTCAGAGTGCGGAACAGTGACCCAGGAAGATAAACCCCACAGAGAGGAATCACCCGCTACAAAACACTGGTTAGGCCCCAATCTCGCGCAGCGCTGTCTGCCCACTCAGGAGGCAACAGGCCACCTCAGAGAGGAGCTGAGGTCGTCAGACTCCCACTGGTCGGTCCTGCTCCATCCAGCAGCCCAGGCCATGGCGGGGGGGACTCCAGCCCTGCACCCTGCTCCGTCTCTCCTCACCCCACCTTCCCTTCCCTACCCCTCCCTGGTCCATCCCCACCCCGGCTCATCCCCCCCTCTCCCAGCCCCAGCTCCTCCCAGCTTCCCCCAGAACCTCAGAGCTTAACTCAGGAACTAAGACTCCAATCGGGGCTTCCCTGGTGGCGCAGTGGTTAAGAATCCGCCTGCCAACGCAAGGGACACGGGTTCAATCCCTGGTCCGGGAAGATCCCACATGCCGCGGAGCAACTAAGCCTGTGCGCCACAACTACTGAGCCTGCACTCTAGAACCTGCGTGCCACAACTACTGAAGCCCGCGCACCTAGAGCCCGTGCTCCACAACAAGAGAAGCCACTGCAGTGAGAAGCCCGCGCACTGCAACAAAGAGTAGCCCCTGCTCGCCGCAACTAGAGAAAGCCTGTGTGCAACAACAAAGACACACCGCAGCCAAAAATAAAAATAAATAAAATAAAATAAATTTATTTTTTAAAAAGAAAGACTCCAATCAACAGGAGGAAGCCTGGGCTGAGGGCTGCATTTAGAGGCAGAAGATCCAAGTGCCAATCCCACAGCTCTGCACGATGAGGCGGCAGGGATGCCTGGCCTGCCAAGCGTTGCTGGGGAGATGAAACTGGGTCACCTGTTGGAGTGCTTTCTGTAAGCCTGGGTACTAATCTGAGTTATGGGGACATATGGAAGGACTTCTTCCTCCTTTTCTCCCAGAGACGCAGTGGGCAGGGCTGGCCTTGGACTGACCTTTCATAGACAGCTGTCTTGGAGACTCCCCACATCTCACTGCATCGGGAGATCCCCAGCAGGTGCTGGAGGAAGGAGATGGAAGGATGGAGAGGGAGGGAGCGCTCTTCTAATTCCTAGAGGGGATGCCGCCCAATTCATGAATCACTGATAAAGCCAATTAGATCTTCAATTTTTTAAAAAAGAACAGAAAGAAAGGGACTTCCCTGGTGGTCCAGTGGTTAAGACTCCGCACTTCCAGAGCAGGGGGCAAGGGTTCAATTCCTGGTCGGGGAACTAATATCCCACATGCCATGCGGCGCAGCCAAAAGTAAAAAATAAAATAAAATAAATTTGTTTAAAAAAGAAGGATGGAGAGGGAGAGGACACAGCTGCCTGCACGTGGCAGATCCTGATAAACAGGTGTTGAGTGCATAACGTTCAACCCCTGAGCTCCTACTGCATGCCCGGCATTGTGCTCAGTGCTACGGATACAAAGATGAATGAACCATAAACCACCATCGCTCAAACATCAGTTCTCAGGATCCAGCCTGAGCGTCTCCCGTGTGCCCCATATGGGCACTGGGGAGCACTGGATGAGTGGGACATCCCTGCATTGGGGGGTGGTCTGCGTGTTGGTGGCTACCCACAGGGCTGCAGCCTCCTGGGGCCGTCCAGCCTGTGTCAGCACCACCCTGGGCTACTGCCATTCTGGCAAGCTCGCAGAGGCCAGGCACTGACGGCTCCGCAGGGAGCAGAATATGGTTTCGGTCTGTTATCAGGGCAGATAAAGCAGCAGCTGGGGTTCAGGGAGCAGTCAGGGCTTACAAATGAGCATATCCAGAGGCCCCACAACTCCCCCATCCTGCCTTTGTCAGCCACCCTGGCCTTCCAATCCCTCTGAAAGCAGCCCCAGGGAAGAGGACACCTCCTAAATAGCTGCGTGCAGTGCCAGGAATGGAAGGGTGAGGTGGCTGGAACCAGCCAGGCAGCTGACCTGGAGGCAGCAGCTGGATGGAAAGAGATTCCAGAGTTCAGAAAGAGCTGGACTGGGAAGCAGAGGGGCCGGTAATGTGGGGAGAACACCCAAGTCACCACCCTGCCACCCTGATCTTTGTATGTGCCCCACTGCTCAGCACAGGGATAGGCGCCCAGGAGAAGTGCAGACAGCATTTCCTGAATGAAGGCACAGTTGGCCGCGGTAGGTAAGGTTGGCAGTTTCTCCAGTGACCAGGATTCCAGGTGTGGGGGGACTCACTGGAGGGGAAACTGGGTCCCCAGATCCTGTCTAATGGGGGAGGGTGCTGGAGGAAAGAGACCCTTGCCTAAGAGAGCCATGGAAACAAGTGCTAAGTAATAGAGGACGCACCATGTTTTAACTCAACAACTATTTCCATGCGCACCTACTATATGCCAGCTGTGATGGAACAGTGGGTAAAGCAAAGTCCTGTCACCACGGAGGCTGCTATTGAGAGCTCTCCCCAACAAAGACAAGTAAGGGGGCTATCTGGGAAGACTTCCTGGAGGAAGGGGGCAGGCAGGCTGGCTGAGTGGCCAGCATGAAAGCTCAGAGGCAGCCAGGAGGGAGGACCGTGCAGAAGGGAAGAACGAAGCTGAGTGTCTGAGGTCTGAGAAATGAGGACTCTTAGGAGGAACCATCTTCGTGGGTTGAGCCGCCACAGTGGGTGGATGGAGAGTGGGCAGGAGGCCACTAGGAGTCCCCTGTTGCTGGGACCTGGCATTTCCTCCTGGGGAGGAAGGAGGCGAGAAGGTGCAGTGTTTCCCGGAGAACGGGGGTCTGTTGCCGCCAAGGGGCCCTCCCTGGGAGCAGCTGGCGGAAGTGGGGCCTCCTGCCAGTTTCCGTTTGTGCAATCCTCCTTCCTGCCTCCTCCACCCAGAAGCAGGCCTGGCAACCCTGCCGGATGTCACTGACATGAGCCCAGCACCCACACAGCTGGGCAGGGGCTGAGGTACCTACCCTACATGGAAGGAGAGGTACCTGGGCAGCTTACGGCTCGGTCCCTGCCCTGCCCCAAATGCATGCCTGACCAAAGTCTAAGCCTAATGGGGCTTCTGCCAGCTTAGGGAGGATTCCTCCTGCCTCCTTCTTTTGCAAGAAGGACCATGAATCTTCTCGTCCACCTGAGGCACCTGACCGTGAGAGGAGGGCATCAGAGTTCCCTCCCTGTGCTAAGCAGGAGCTAAAGCAGCGGGAGGCCAGGCCTCTGGGAGTCCCCACCAGTGGACGCGTGCCACTCCAAGCGGAGGGCCCAGCGTCTGGCTCCACGACCCACCCGGGGTCTGTCGCTCTACACCATCTGAAGCCCTTGGAGTTGCATCCTGTGTTGCAATATCATATAACAAGTGCCCGGTGTGGAAGGGTGGCCTTTTATTCATTCCAGAAGGGAATAGTCATCAAGAACCTACTACATGCCAGGCATTGTGCCAGGCCCTGGAACCTCAAGGAATAAAACCATCATGTGGTCCCCGGGCTCACAGAGCTTCACAGGGTAGGCAGGCACAAGTAAACAAGCAACAACAAATCATCACAAATGGGCTAAGTGCTGTGAGGACAGGAAAGTGTAATTAGCCTATGCTTACCTCTCCCTGACCCCAGAGGCCTGCCGTCAGTACAGAAGACCCATAGCTGCCTGACGTCCCCAGAGCACTGCTTGGCTAGAGACCTTGGATCACACTGGAAACCACTGAGTACCTGGCATAACAATGGGATTGACCACACTGTGAGGAACATTTGTCGAACCAAACTGGAAAACAAATTTTTAATTAAAAAAATTTCAAATCATCCAGTACAATCTAATTTTACAAGCTACTGAGGCCCAGAGAGGCCAAGCGTTTGGCCCCAAACCACGCAGCTGGTGAGTAGCAGAGCCCAGACCAGAAACCAGCTCTGCCAGCACCCCCATGCTGCCCCCTCGTCTATCCTGGACCAGTTCACAGCCTCCAGGGCTCTGCAGCCTCCTGGCCCATCTCGGATGCCTTCTTTGCAGATCGGCACTGGCTGATAGAATTGTACGCGGCGTTGGAAGTGTTCTGTATCTGCGCCAGCACGGACACATGACGTCACTCGTCAGGTTCAGGGAAACGGGGCCAGTTTGGTGGGGGTGGGAATGGGCAGGGCCTGTGGAGAGAAGGAGAGCGCGAGGAGATGAAACACAGAGAGGAAGAAGGGCAGCAGGTGCAAAGAATCTTGTTTGACAGTCCAAGGAATCTTCTAGACCTTAATCCACGGAGAGCCACTGAAGAACTTTATGCCAAGTGATGAGATGCCTGCATTGCAGCCTTGCTGGGTCCCCGAGGACGCTGCTGCTCCCCTGAGCTCCGTAGCACCTCTGACACCCCAGCCACGCTGGCTGGCTCCCGTCATCGTCACCGTCCTACACGAACGGTTTGCTGCCATCTTAGCCTGAAAGAACCTCCCCACACCCTTCCTGGACACGTCTTCCTCCTCCTTCAAGCCTTTGCTCACTGCCCCAAACACCTTCCCCCGGGTCAGTGCCTCTCCCGTGTCTCCACAGCCTGCCTGGCACGTGGAGGGAGCTTCACAGGCACGGTTTTTAATTCTCCATCCTTGCTATTGGTCCCCCTTCTTGGCCGCAGCCCTTCCCAGTCTACTCTCAGCTTCCCAGTCCCCAGTTCTGGGACCCTCAGAAATTCTTTCCACCAAGCCACGGATTGCACAAAGAGAGAGGGCACTGACCCAGGCGAGGGCATAGGTGTGGGTGTGCATTTTGGAGAGAGGAGGAGAGAGGGGCAGAAAACCTAAGCAGGTTCATCTGGGAAGCTTCCTGGAGAAGTGGCCCGGCCTTCCCATCATGCCCTGGGGTGAGGCTAAGAGTCTTCCTCGCCCGGAGTCCCTGTCTGTCTCGCCAAGAGCCACGTCCCGCCCCAGAGCCTCAGGCAGGCTAGGATGTGCTCACTGGCACATGCATCCAGCAACTATGCATTGCTGTCCTGCATTATCCCAGGCCTGCCTGGGCCAAAGGGGGAAAACGCACAGACGAGGCACTGAAACTGTGACACGGCCGTGCCATTCCCATAACGCCATCCAGCCGGGCTGTGGGGCCAGGATGCCTCTCCTATCCCAGGGCTGAGAGATGGAGGAGCCCTGGACCAGGACTGTCCCAGAGGGACAGGCAGGCAGGGAGGCAAGAAACAAGGGGTGGATGAGAGTGAGCAGAGATACATCAGCTGTTGGGGGGTAGTGACCTGGAGAGAGAAATAGAAGGAAGGAGGAAGTAGAGAAAATAAGAAAACTCCCCCTTGCTTCTCTGAGGACCAATTTCAGGGGCCCGAGCCTCCCCCATTCTTAGCTCTGGCCAGCGCCTGTCCCACTTCCACCTTGTCTCGGCCTCCTGGATGATCAGGATTTTGCCTCCTGTCGCCAGTGACAGGGGACCAGGGGCAAAGGAGGCGGACTCGCAGTGGAAGGTGAGGGATGGAGATTTCTGTCCCTGGACTTGTAAGGATCAAGCAGGACAGGGCTCCAGTATCCCTAAGGGGCACAAGACGCTGTCTCCAGCTGGGCTCACCCGAGCTCATGTCCCACCAGAAGCCCCAAGGTTTGTCTGTGAGTAGATCCAGGAGGGGTTGGGAGACTGCCCAGGTCCCCAAACATACCCCAGAGAGACTGAAATTTTCGCCCACCCTCCACCTTCCCTCTCCTAACCCCTGCCAGGCTTCCTGCCCCCTGGGGGCCTGAACCCCTAGGAAGTTTGGGCTCATATCGAGGCCAGGAGAGGGTTTATGTCAGGTCCTCGGTTAGGGTGCAAAGTCAGGGGCCTGTACAGTGGACCCCCCAGGATGTTAACTCAGGGGTGGAGGGAGGCATGCGTGAAGCTAGGGTAGGGAAGGAGAAGGGGAGGAAGGGGGGTCTGGGTGCTTCCGTGGAGTTATGTTTGGGGCTTTTTTGCTGCACTTCCTGTTCAGTAGCCAGAGCTGTGACAGCCAAAGACACCTCTGTGACTGCACCCATGGAAGACTTCTGGGCCAGAGAGGAAGCAGCAGGTGGGACCACATCCCTCTCCCCACACGCAGCGTCCAAGGTCAGCGTGCCCTCCGTGCCTCCAAGAAGCCAGGCCACCCGCAAGGAAGGCCGCCCAGTGCTCGGGCCCCAGAGACCGCCCTGCAGGGCCAGCCTCGAAGCCAGGGACTGTGACTTGTCAAAACACAGGGGCTGATGGAGGTCAGCGAGGAACAGCAGACTTGAGTTATCCAAAGGTCTCTGGAGAACTGAGCATCCAGCTTAAAGACAGTTAGGCGGAATCGAGCCCCAGATGTAAGAAGACAGCTTCCTTTTCCATCTCACTGCCCTTTCCAGGAGTCACCTGGCTTAGAGGCTGAGACAAGAGGAAGGACTCCTAATTCCAACTGTCTGGGTTCAAATCCATTGCTTATAAATTGCTATCAACAGACCAGACGCTCAACCCCTCCGAGCCTCAGCTTCCCCCTCTGTAAACAGGGGCTGGTGAGAATTAAAGCGTCTGCGAAGGATGAGTGTCGTGAGGGTTTGAGGAGCTAATCCATGTAAAGCACTGGGGACATACATGACGTGTCTGCTGCTGTCTTGGCACCAGCAGGGCCCGTACGCCTTTGTCTGCCCTCCCCACTCCCCGCAGAGCACGCAGGGGTAGTCAAGGTTGGGGCGGGCAGGGTGCTGAGTTCCACCACATGTTATTCAGATACCAGGTCAGGGAGGCAGGTGGGCGCTGCATGGGGGAGGGGAAGCACATGTCAGGAGGGGTTGGGAGACTGCCCAGGTACCCAAACTTACCCCAGAAACACTGCACAGACACCCCTGCAGTGACCCCATCACCCAGAAGTGTCTCAGCAGCCCACCCCCAGCATCAGAGCCTGGGATCCAGCCTCAGGATAGGCTCGTGCCCTCGGGGCAGATTCCTGTGCCCCAGTGGAGCCAGAAATGCCCACTGTGTAGGACGGAGGTCTAGCCTGGGAGGCAGGAGGCCTGGAAGGGGCGATGTGACCCAGGCAGGAGCTCCCATCTCCGGCCTGTCTCCCCCTCCAGTCCCAGAGAGCTCTCCACCCCTGTGACCACAGGAGTCTCTCCCAGGCACGCTCCTCTCTCTGCTGTAGCCCCACCACCTAGGGCGGTGCACCAGGTCCAGGGAGGGCACACAGAGCCATCCAGCCAGGGCAAGAGCGCCCTGGGACATCAGGCCAGGGAGGAAGGAAGAGACAGGCCCGGGAGAGCTGGAAAGTGCCTGGAAGTGGAAGAGCAGTGTCTCCGGAACTTCAGGAAGGCAGGAGGGAGTGCCCTGGGCTGGCCGAACCCTCTACCACTCCATCAGAGTCTCTGCGGGAGCAAATCAGTGTCTTTTCTACTTACACTTCATATTTAAGATGAAATTCTTTTTTTAGGTTTGGGCAGGGATGATCTGGTCGCGCAGGGTCTTAGTTGCGGCAGGCAGTCTCCTTCGATGTGGGATGCGAACTCTTAGTTGCGGCGTGCGTGTGGGATCTAGTTCCCTGGCCTGGGCCCCCTGCATTGGGAGCGCGGAGTCTCACCCACTGCACCACCAGGGAAATCCCCATGCTGGGTCTTGAACCAAGTCTCACTTGTCCAAAGCCACAGGCTCTTGACCTCCACCATCTATTTCCTCTCCAGCCCCTCAGATGGTGGAAGGCACACAGTAGGTACTCAATAAATAATAGATCAAAAGCAGGAAGGAGGGAGAGCAGGAGGAAGAAAGGAAGAGGAGAAGATAAGCAGGGGAGACTCTTGCGCATGTAGAAAATAAACAGTCAAGGTGCGGTTTTCCAATGCCAGCCTGGCACGGTGCCCAGGACAGCTGCCATACACTCAGGAGCCCAGGGCCTGCGCTTGTCTCATCTTTTCCAGAAATATGTAAGCCTAGATACGTCAGCCTTCAGGTATGCGATGAGGTCTTCGGTGAGAGGCATAGCGCGCTCTCTCTCTCTCTCTCTCTCCTTCTTCATTGAAGCTGCCTTTCCTCTGGCTACCACCCGACACCCACCCAGCCAGCCAGCCCAGCTATGTCCCTCTCCCCTGGAGCCAGGCCTGGCTTGGTTGGGAGGCCTATGAACAGCCCCCCTCAGCAAGGCAGATCCCTGCCCCGGGAGGAGATGGGTCCATGGTGCCGGGGGAGGGGCAGGAACCACATCATCTAACAGGTTGGTCGGGCTGAGAGGCGTCACGCCTTCGAGGAGCTAATGAGCACTGTGTGACAGGTGTCTGCTCCTCAGTCCCCAGCCTGCCCTGCCTGCGACCGGAGCCAGCTGCCGCCACCCCTCAGGCTTGCTCGCCCCTCACTGCGCCCTGCCCGCTCCGGGTCCCGGGACCTGCAATGGCCTGCCGCTCCTGCGTCGTCGGCTTCGGCAACCTCACCAGCTGTGAGGTGACCCAGGCGAGCGGTGCCTGGCCTGGCACCTCCGGATGGAGCAATTACAGGGCCCCCGAGCCGGGCTTCAGCTCCAGCAGCCTCACAGGCTGCCTGACAGCTAGCACCATCCCCAGGGTGACCGTGAACCCCAGCCTGCTAGTACCTCTGGACCTCAAGGTGGACCCAGCCACCCAGCAGCAGGAGAGCCAGAAGAAGGAGGAAATGAAGGTCCTCAATGATAAGTTTGCCTCCCTGATCGGCAAGGTGAGCAAAGGTGTGGAGGGGCTGTCTCAAAAGTAAGCCCTGGGCAGGTGGCTGAGCTCTGTACCTCCCAAGCATCACGTCCCACGCCCGCGCCCAGCCAATGGGAAGTCGGCACTGCTAACTCCGCAGGCTCTGAGCGGAGAGATGGGGAGGGGAGTGCCTGCGCCACCCTGATGTGGGGAGAGAGGGACCCCGGAATGGCCTCTGAGGGGTGTCAGGAAAATAATGTGCTGCATGGCCTGGGCTCACCCTCCCTCCCAGGCGTGGACTAGGGAGGGGCTCTGAGTGTGGCCAAGAGGATGCCCCCTCATAAGGATGGCCGATGGGGGCCTGGGCTGCATGCAGTCCGACTCCAAGGCAGAGGGACAGGGCCCACCTTCCTGTCCACGCTGCTGGCTCTGTTCAGCTTCCCAGGGTCAGAAACACCGGCAAGGGCTGGGGGCGGGGGGCAGGCAGCACATGTGGGGAGGCCAGAAGGAGGCTGCAGAATGGGGCTGCAGCTGTGGCTTGTCAGGAGATAGGAATGCAAGGGATGGACGCTGCGAGTCAGAAACAGGTGGCCAGCCGGTCCTCCCTGCACCCACCTGAGTAGAGGGATTGAGTCCCTGGCACCCCACTTCCTGGACCCCACTGCCATGGCCAGCATGCCGGTCTGGGCACTGGTGTCCATCTCCGGCCCAGGGCAAGGGCTTCAAGGGCTCCAAGGAAGTCCTGTCTACCTCCCAAAGCCGGTCCTCACTCACCTCCTCCAAGGACCTCCCCTAACCAGCCCTCCCAGCTCTGCTCC